GTGTTCGTAAACTGGTTCCGTTGTTCCCGCCGTCGACAAAAGGCCGCACATCGCGACCGGAACATTCATCGAATAGAACAGGTGTGCCCGATAAGATTAAAACAGCTGTTTCCGCGCTTTTCCCAAACCGTCGCCTTCGGTTTGGCCTATTTTACGGGTCTTCCCCACACAAACGCATTTGTTACACGGCGGAAAATCTTTGTTAATCGTTTCGTAGTCCCGGTGACCGGCTGATTCTTCGAAAAGGGTCTTGAATTTAATACGGTAACATGATTTCTTGAGGCTAGACTTCTATACTCAAAGCCACCACTCGTCTGGATTCTGTCTACCCTCGCTGCCAGGAGTGCCAGGGAAGGACGAATCGCGTTTCTATGTATGATTCTCTTTCGAAACGTCAGGAAGGTCGCTGAGAACAGGCAAGAACAGGATGGAACAGATAGAAAACAGCTGAGTCGCAGCTGGTTTCTGGCATCGTGACGGGATGGGCATACTCCACGCAGAGAACAGTTGCGCCGTGTGTGTGTATATGCGGGCGGGGCTGACGTGTATGTATGTACAGTGCCAACCAACAGTGGTATAAAGCAGAATCGAAGTCGATTAGTTAAAAAGAAAAAACGATTGCGGAAGAAAAACTAACCGATACGACTAAAGACTTCTTGCGAATAGCGCCGAGATCGCGGTCGACGACATTCCCGAGACGAGAAACAGAGCAATCGAACCGTGCAAACGTTAAGTGTTTTTTCTTTGTCCAAAGTGGACTACGTATGTAATTCCAGGCTACTTCGTTCTCTCGGTTCTCTCTGCAGAACCGACGTGATCGCACGTGTCACGAATGCTTTGCCCCTTTTTCCTCCCACTCTTTTTTTCTTCTTGCACGAACTTTGCGTAGCAAAAGCCAAGTCTAAAGTACTAAGAAGAGGCCATGATAAGAAACGATTCTCTTCTGTCCGTTCGTTGTAAAGATGAGAGGTCTTGGATTCTAGTCCCGCCGGAACAATTAGTTATTTACAACAATTAGGTCTCTTACGCTTGCTCCGGAGGTTCTATGACCCTACTACCTCACCACACGGGGCATCTTGCACATGCTCCGGGGGTTCTATGGCCCCACTTACTCACCACACGGGGATTCTGGCGCCACCTGCCGGGGTTCTGTGACCCCGCGTTCTCACCGCACAGGGTCTCTGGCGCCACCTGCCGGGGTTCTGTGACCCCACGTTCTCACTACAGGGGACCATTTCGCCCCCACTGGGGGTTCTATGACCCCACGTTCTCGCCACACGGGGTCTCTGGCGCCACCAGACGGGGTTTTATGACCCCGCTCTCTCACTGCACGGAGTACCTGACGTCTCCACCGGGGGTTCTATGACCCCACGATCTCACCACACGGGGTCTCTGGCTTACTACAGAAAGTAACAACTGCCTACGTCTTTTAATCTTGGGCTGTAGTAGTATCTTCAGAAACATGTGGATTACGGAGCCCCCGGTGGTGGCCCTATAGACCCTGCAAGGCGGCCCCGGTGGAGGCGCCTTTGATCACGTGGGCTGAGAATGTGGGGTCACGGAGCCCCCGAAGCATGCTGAAGAGCCCCCGTGTGTGTGAGATGTATGATGTACAATTAGAATTTCAACGGTTTATAAATAAAAGTACACACGGCTGAACTCAACGATAAATTTATTAATAAAATTATTTACAAAACTTAGGATCGATAAATTAAACATCAAAACTGAACATCTGAAATAATCAATAAATTATTAACAAACTTTAATATTCAAAATTAACGCGCAAAACTACAATTAAGTCCCGACATAGATATTTATTTATCGTGTATATCTTATATGACGGATATTGTTTGGAATTTATACATATGTTTATGTTTAAAAAGTTTTAAATTTCCATTTATATCATTGTCCTGTGAAAATGTTTATACTGCCAGCAGCATTCATATTCCAATCAAAGAATCTACTGAATAAGGACAAGGAATCTAAAGTAATTTTCAGTAGTTCCATACATCTTTATCTCGAATAATTTTCTAAAACATTCAAAGTACTAGACATTTTTACACTTTGAATCTCATATCGATTTCTAAAATAATCCTA